TATATATATATATATATATATAAAACTAGTAGAAGGATACAGACAGAGGACATGCAGAAAAAGAAAATAAAAGCCACGATGGGTAAAACAATACGAAAAATGATAAGAAAAAAAAAAAGAAAGAAAATAGAAACGAAGGGAAAATTAATTATGCGTGAGTGCGTATCGGATGAATGTGAGTGCACGTAAATCACGTGCATTATGCCCTAATAACTAGGCGTTATATGTTTTATCACGAAATACACTGGTTTTTCAATAAATATCTATTTAAATTAACGATCTTAATATTTAGGTATCGGATTTCTTTTTTTCTATTTTACAGGAAATATTAAATTCGTCAACACGTGATCATTAATAATAAGTAAGTATGATTATACATTTTATTTTTTCTATAACCCCGTCCCACACCCCCTGGATTAAATCTATCTACGAATAAAAAGAAATCACACTTTAGTTTCCATAAAATTTATTTGTTAACCATTACTACTACTATTACACATATAATATAATAAAATATAGTATATTAAAAAGAAAAAATTGAATCCAGTTTATCAACGATGAAAGATGATAAGAATAAGTATAATAAAAATTAACAGGTGATAACAGGTGAGATTCTTTGTTTTAAATTTCGCGGAAAATAAAGAAAACCGTTGCGCGCACGCGTTCGTTAAATGTAGCGTATAAGAATGAGAGAGAAAAAGAGATAGATAGATAGAGTGAATAAGAGGAAGGGTAAAAGAGTGGGAAAGAGATGGAGTTAGTTGCGGATATACGGTGCTGCTATGGGTTGGTGGTATTCGGGGTTGAGGGGGGCAGTTGCCGAGCGATGACACCTGTGGCTCGGCCCCCATGATCAGTTCAGCCGCGACCGTCCACGCGCCGTCTTTATTGTACGTTTACACGCGATTTATGCACGAGCATATATACATATATATATAATACATATACATATATATATATATGCAACAAAAATTATACGCATATAGAAGAAAATACGGTTGTAAATATATAAAACATATGTATATGAAGATGGAAACGTAATGGAGTACTGATATTCGAGGGACATATTAAAAAAAAAAGAAAACAGATGTATGCAACAACATCGTGCGTCAGCAGATCTTCTCAAAAATCGTACGAATTTTCTTCTTCTTCTACTTCTTCTTTTCTGTATATACACCCATTCGTTGAAACTACACTTGAAGAAGAATTAATTAGTAAGGATACGAATTAATATCTACATAATTTATATCGTGTTATTCGTAATATACTTGGATTTACTTTAAAACGCATGCACATATAAACTGATACATATACACAGGACAGACAGGTAGGACATACGTTGGAATTATTCTTCAGTTCACCGTGTGTGTTCGATATTATTTCTTCAATCACGTTACATACGCCTCCTATTTTTCCGTTTTCTCTGCCTCTCCCCATTCCCTCCCCTCTCTCTATCTTTCTCTCTCTCTCTCTCTCTCTCTCTCTCTCTCTTCCCAATGACGTAGTAGTATCTCTTTCCAATTCGATCCTAACCCGTCGCCGCGTCGTTCGTGCGCATCGATGTCTTTTTAGAAAGCAAGATATCGTAAACTATACACATCCTTGCTTAAGCCTGCTTAGCAACGCATGGAGGTTTTCAGGGCACCATATATATATATATATATAGTCTTTAATATTTATTTTATTTTATTTAGAATAATATATTACTAAACTATCGACCGAAAATATCACCATGCGTTTCATCTTTCATTTTTTTTACTGCACTCCCCACCACTCTAAAGCAAAAAAACAAAATAACTATGAAGTAGAATATAGAAGAGGGAGAGGGAGCAGAGAATTATTGAACAAATAAGAAATTTAGAAAATACTTCTTTTGATACAAAGTTGGGGGCGACATGGCGTTGACATCGATTTCCCGCTCGATAGTCGATTGTTTTATTTCAAGTCAGTAACATCTGTGTTCAGTGCGCTTTATCAAAGTGGATGGATGATGATGATGCATCATGTATGTACCTTCTTCGGTTGTTTAAACGAGGACGCAAGCAGATTTAGCTTAGCTAGCACACATATGATGTTTGTTTCTCTTTTCTATTTCTTTTTCTATTTCTTTTTAGTGTATGTGTATATCTATTTATGGATATATCGTGCGTGATCGTAAATTAAAGTCTAATATTGCATAAATTGAACATATATATATTCTAGCATTAACTATAGCGAATTTTTGTCGTGTATAATCTGTTTGTTTTACTATTCTAACCTAAAATTAGGGTTATATATTCAATCGAGAAAACGTGCGTGATTCGTCGATCACCACGTGACGATGCATGACGTTTCAAATATACGCTTTCCTATTGGTTAATTCGAAACATTTTTCGGATTCAATTGTTTTAACGTATTATTGGTTAAACAAATGGCGACGACTATTAATGCAGGAACGATGAAAGAGAAATCTTGAATATGATTTGTTTTATATATTTAAGAAAAGGTTTTTATTTAATACACGAATAAGAAAGTTTACTTTCTTATTCGATTTGATTTCCAATAATGTTATTCTAATTTGTGCTAATTATCCTTTCATATTTTATTTTATATATTTTGTTTAATTTTAAAAAACGCGAAAAAGCACGGACAGTGCAATTCGATTTAAAAAAAGCCCGGGAACAAAATTAAAGATGGTCGGGGTCAAATATTTGAAAGTTGATAGCCAGATATATTTGTGAATAATAAATGTGTATGTATATATGTGCATCTTCGAAAAGATAATAGCGCGTGTTGTTCACGACGACGAATGAACGAGTTTGAGATAAACCATCGATCACCTTCGACCTATCATCGATCGAGAAGGCATCGCGTTTAAACGCCCGAGTTCGAGAATATCGCGACGACATATTTTCTTTTCCACGTACTTTGCCAAAGATAAGCATAAGAAGAGAGAACTTGACTCTCAACGGTTCCAAAAGATACGCGGATTATTTAGCGAACCACACACACACACACAGATATATATATTTAAAGAAAAATAAGGGGGAAAAAAAGAATGAAATAAAAAGAGATAAATAAAGAGAGAAAAAAAAGAAAAACTATGAGAAAACGTAAAAATGTTCCAGACATTGTATCAGATTCATAGATATTATTTTTCTTATCTTTCAGCATTTCTATATAAATTCCATCGATTACAAAATTCTATTAAAAAATACTTGTGAATCTTTTAAATGAACAAAATATTTTCTTCTATTGGATGGATACGTCGTACGAGTCGGCCTAGCGGTTTTATTATTATCTCTCGAAACAAGAACCGAAATTTCACATCTCAATTGTAATAACGGTAAAACAAAATTCGTAATAATGTCGAATCTCGTTGCTTTCTACACAAAACAATTCGATCAAACTGCAATAATTACCAACGAAAACAATAATACAAATATTACATGAAATTGTATAAAAAAATATGTGTGTGTGTGTGTGGATAATCGAAGAAGCATAAAAATATGTATAAGTAAAGATCAAAAGAGAGTGGAGGAGGAATTCGTGGAAAATTAAATCGTTCTCATTCGGTAGGTCGTACACTACTACTACTACTACACGAATGTGTAAACATTATTTCTTCTCACACATGTACGATTAGAAAGAGAAAGAAAGAGAGAGAGAGAGAGCAGCCAGACCAGATCATACACATACACAAAACATGCAATCAAAAAC